TTCCCATTAAGTACGCTTTAATTTAGATTCATCCCAGAAATTGGGATATGGTGTTTTAATTTCCATTTATTTAAAAATACCTTCTAAGTTAATTTTTTTTCTTGGTCCTTTGGGTTAGACATGCATTATTTTCCCCACATTTGGGGATTTTTCAGAGGTCTTCTTGGTATTAATTTCTAGTTTAATTCCACTGAAGTTAGAGAACATACTTTGTATGACTTAAGTCCTTTCACGTTTATTGAAACCTATTTTATGGCCCCCAAATGGCCTCTCTAGGTAAATGTTCATTTGCATTTGAAAATAATGTGCATTCTGGTCTTCTTTGGTAGAATGTTCTAAAAATTTCAATCAAGTTGGTTGATATTGTTCAAATCTTCTGTAGTTATAATTTTTACCTACTTATTCTACCAATTATCAAGAAAAGGGTTTAGACATCTTCCACTTTACCTGTAGTTTTGTCAATTTCACCTTTCAAATCTATCAATTTTTTCTTTGTATCTTGAATCTCTGCTGCTAGGTCAATAAACATGTTTTCCTGATGAACGGATTCTTTATTATGAAATAACCATCACTGGGAATATTCTTTTTTCTGAAACTTACTTTTTCTGATATTAATATAGGTATTCCAGCTTTCTTTTTACTAGGGATAGCATAGTATATCTTTTTTCATCCTTTCACTTTTAATCTATTTGTGTGTTTTTATATAATTTTTATTTATTTCTTTGAGAGAGAGAGAGCATGCACACAAGTTGGGGACAGGGAAAGAGAGAATCTTAAGCAGGCTCCACACCCAGCATGGAGCCAGACCTGGGGCTCAATCCCACGATGCTGGGATCATGACCTTATCTGAAACCAGAGTTAAATGTTCAACCAACTGAGCCACCCAGGAACCCCTGTTTTTGTATTTAAGGTACATTTCTGGAAGACTGCATGTATTGGTTCCTACTTTTTCATCCAACCTGTCAAGCTGTTCTTTGTAACTGAGGGTTTCTAGCCATTTGTACCTAATACAGTATAGGTTTACATCTGTTATTTGGTGAGTACTTGTTCCGTTGTCCTTTACTTGCCTTTTTCTTTTTAATGCCTTACTTTGGAGTAAGTATTGCTTTATGATTTTTTACTGCCTATCTTGGCTTATTAGCTATAACTCCTTGTCTTGTTATTTTATTGATTGCATTAGGGTTCATAGCATATATCTTCAACAGAGTCTAACTTCAAGTGATATACTACCAACCTTAATTGATATACTACTTCATGTACAGGTTTCTCCCACTATCAGAAACTAGAGTGTTCTTATAAAACCTTTTATAAGCTAAAATGGCATAAAGAGAAGAAGCAATTACCATTTTGTAGAAGTGAAAACTGTCTTTGAATTTCTTTTGGTTAGCAAAAACAGGTACTAATGTACGTCTTTCGTAAAAGCAAAGAGGCATAAAGCAAACTTTCAGATAGCCTGAAACCTATTTATAGTGTAAGAGTTTATAACAGACTTCCATTCCTTTCCTCCCAGCCTTTATGTTATTGTTGTAATACGTTTTACTAATACATGTTACAAACCCTCAAATACATTTTATTTTTGTATAAACAAATGTTATTATATTACATATATCATTATAATGTGAAAAATAATCTTTTATAATTACTTCTATGATTACTATTTCTGATATTCTTCAATACTAGGTGTAGATCTTTCCTCTGGTTGAAGGACTTCCTTAAACATTTCTTGTACTGTGTGTGGGTCTGCTGGTGATTTCTGAAAAAGCATTTTGTCTTTGTTTTTGAAACATATTTCCACTGGATATAAAATTCTAGGTTTGACAGCTGTTTTCTTTCAGTGTTTTAAGGATGCTGTCTTCGTATTTCTGATGAGAAAGTTACTGTCATTCTTATCTTCATTCCTGTGTGTAACATCTTTTTTCCTCTGGTTGCCTTTAAGATTTTCTCTTTATCACTCGCTTTAATAAAAAAAAAAAATGTTTATTTATTTTTGACAGAGAGAGAGAGAAAGAGAAAGAGAGACAGAGATAGAGAGAGAGAGAGAACAAGAACATGAACAGGGGAGGGGCAGAGAGAGAGGGAGACACAGAATCCAAAGCAGGCTCCAGGCTCTGAGCTGTCAGCACACAGCCCAATGTGGGGCATGAACCCACAAGCCGTAAGATCATGACCTGAGCCAAAGTCGGAAACTTAACTGACTGAGCCACCCAGGCGTCCCTCTAATGCTTTGATCTCAATGTACCTTGGTGTCATATTTTACTGTCCTTGGAGTTTGATGAGAATTTTGAATTTGTAAGATTATTATAGTATTCAATAAATTTAGAAAATTTTTAGACATGGTTTCTTCAAATATTTTCTTCTAACTCTACTACTTCCTTTATATACTCTAATTATGCCTACATCAGCTCTACAGTTCACTGAGGTGTTTTTCTTTCTTTATTCCTTTTGTTTCACTTTGGATGGTTTCCACTGCTATGTCTTCAAGTTCATTAATCTGCAATGTTAATCTGCTATGAATCCTATCTAGTGTATTTTTCATATTGAGTTTGTAGTTTTCATATCTAGAAGTTCACTCTGGGATTTGTATCATATAGGTCTCTATTAAACTTTTTTAAAACATGGAATATAGTTAACTATCCTAACTATCCCATAACTATCCTGATGTCCTTGTCTGTTAATTCTAACATATATGTCAGTCTTCATCAATTGATTCTTCTCATTATTGGTCCTGTTTTCCTCCATGTTTGCATGCCAGGTACTTGTATGAATTTTATCTTGTTGGGTGCCAGGTATTTGTGCATTCCTAAAAATATTTTTGAGTTTTCTTCTGTTTAGAGATTTTCAGGTTCCATATGCAAATCATATGCAACCAACGATTTAGTGAAATTAGTATCAGATTGGTAATACTTCTGACCAAAACTAAAAGATCAGTAACATTTTATAAAACCAAGTCACCTATAATCTGTGGTATATTCTATAGCACATTTATGATTGTAGATCCTACCTGAACATCTTTAGTAGAAACTGTAAGATATTATCACTTTGTATTATTACAAAAGGAAGACGAAAAAAAGAAATCAAAGATGCTATGACAGCACAGGTGGGATTTTCTCATCCCTTTAAAATCAAATCAAAACACGACCATTTCTGCCATACTTCCTACTTTGTATAACTTACCATAAAGATTTTTAAGATAAAGATATGTTCAAAAACCAGAGCAGTTACTTGTAAATAATTTGATCCTTTTGGGTTGTGCTTTTGTTTGGAAGGTCCAGAATGTGTTCAGTCTAGTGCTAATTATCCCCCCACTACTGAGATGAAACCTTACTGAGTACTCAAGGTTCTGTTACTCATGAGGTTTTCCACCTGGCTGTTGGGAGTCAAGCAATATTCTTGGCTCTGTGTGAACTTCTGAGACTGTTTCTTTTCATTGTTTTGGATTATTGTTTTCCCAGACATCGAGTAGTTTCTTCACATGTATATGCCAATCAGTACTCTACCAAATACTTGAAGGAGACTCTGATTTCTGGGGCTCTCTCTGCATGTAGCTCTTTTCTTTGGTGTTCTGTCTTATGAACTCCAGCTATTTTGTTCTCCCCAGACTCTCACCTTTTCAACTCAGCCTGGCTAGGATACCCCTCCCTGTGCCACAGTCTGCAAACCCTCTCAATGCTAGGAGTTAAAGTAATTATTAGGTTCACCCTATTAATTCCTTTCTCTTAGGGCTCACTTTTCTTTCACTGACTTAAGTCCAGTTTCCTGAAAACTGTTGTTTTATGTTTTTCCTGGTGTTTGTTTTCTTCAAGTGGTAGGGTAAATCCATTTCAATTATTCCATTTCAATCACAAGTGGAAGTAAAGTCTTGATGGTTTTGATTAGTTTTTAAAATATTTTTTTTTAATCTATTTGGTACCAGTGCCCAAGGCCAAAATTTTATTACTTCACTTGGATTACTGTAGTTGCTTCTTCTAATTGCCTTCTTTGTCTAGAGTTTTGTCCCCCTTAAATTCTTCCTCCACATAGTGACCTGAGTAATGTAAGTGAAATACACTTATTTTAATCCACTTTAAAAATCTGTTAATAGTCCCATTTCCTATAAGATTAAATTTCCTTAACACAACATATAAGCTCTTCATGACTTAAGTCTGCAGAACTTGTTAGTCACCTCCACATGCCAAACTGTAGATGCCAGCAATGATGAATTGTACCTACTTTTCATCCATATCATGTTATTTCTTTGTGCATTTGCTTACGTTATTACCTCTGCCTTTCTCTTCTTCCTCTCCAGCTGATTTTTCATTCTTAAAGTTTCTCCTCAGGTGTTACCATATTGAGGAAGTATCACCCCTTGGTTTTGGTTAGGAGCCTAACACTTGTGCACACCTTTATAACTGTAACTTAATATGCTATAATATAATCATGTCTGTGGGTTGGTCTCCTGCTATACTGTAAGCTATCTGAAAGCAAATTTTTTATCTTAATCAACTTTGGGAACCCAATGACAGACACATAGTTGACACTTTAGACATTTAATAAATCCATACTGAACTGGAAGAATCAATTATTATAACTGTGTATAATTCTTTTTCCATTTTAATCTGGAAAAACTGTCTATCAGTTCTTTTATGCCATTCTAAGAAAAGCACCTGGCATAATGGTAAGCTTGCAGTTTGCTAAATAAATATATGATTAAGCATTTTTTTATTGTGGTCTCAATATTTTTGTTCAGATAGCACCATAAATATTTCTTCTCTAAGCCTGAGATTTGTCTACAAACTTCTTAAGCTCTGAGATACCAATTCAATAATTAATTTCCAGTCTTCTTTGGTATTTTATATTCTTTTTTCTGAAAGACAATGGTAGTAACAGAGTTCTTGAAGTATCATGTACAAGTCATAAGTAATTGATGATTTCAGCAAAATTGGAATAAAACTGGTAATGCTTCTGTACCAAAAGTTAAAAATTATAAATACTTTAATAAACACTTTGTAAAACCAAATTACCTGTTGATTTGTAGTATGTTCTGTAGCATAGTCATGACTGTAGATCCTATTTGAAGGTTGTCAGTTTGCAGTAAGTGTAAGAAATGATCACTTTGTAGTACTAAAAGAAGAGAAAAAAATTAAAACAAAGATTCTATGATACAATCGAGATTCATTTATTTTCAAAACCAAATCCAAGCATGACCATTTCTACTAAAATACCTGCCTTTGTATACTTTACAATAAAGAAGATTTTAAGATGGGCAGTTTCAGTAACCATAAAAAAGTGATTCCATTTTATGAAAGTTATAAACAGAAAGCATCCACAAATACTACCCTAAGACTCTACTGTTATCTCCCATTAAATGAGAAATAAAACAAAACATATCCTAAATTCGAATCTTTCTAGCAATAAACTTCAGTGAATAAAATCAAATTTCCTGTGAAGAAAAGAGAATATGAAGGAATGGAAATGGTACATGTGACTGTAAACAGTGGCTTACATCCTTAAAACAATTGTTATATAATATACCATGTTTGCTAACATTTTGTCTTAAATAATAATGAAATTATCATTTACAAAACAACGTTTGTTTTTATTGGTTTATAATTTTTAGGTTCTGAGAAGCCAGTTTTGAAGACCTGACACTGGATGCTTCTGTAAGTTGCTTAACCTCTCAGAACTCCCATTTCTTCAACTGTAAAACAAGAATAGCTCTCTCATAGACTACTGCTGAATGTCCTACAACCTACCCTACTGAATAGGTTCCCAGTAAATGTCAGTTTCTACTCCCTTCTCCATTAACTGATCAGAATTACAATTAAAGTGGGATCAGGCGTGCAGGCAAGCCAATTCTGTGAATACTATCCTAGCTTCCACAAAACAACTTTACTCTTTGCCTCTTCTTTCTCCTGAAAGAATATATTGATTTCTTTCACATACTAATTACTGTTTTTCCATTTACAAAGTCCAATATTTCAATATTTTACTAAACATCAATTTTTTTTAACATTTAGCAACTTCAAAAAAAATTCCACTATTAAATATTTCTATAGCTTCTTATTTTCTATTACTTCAACAGTAAAAGACTTCTTTTTTATAACTGGAGTAAGTATATTATTTCCTTTTTGTCTACTTAAAGATGTTTTATTAGTAACTCTTTAATTAATTAATTTCAGAGAGAGAGAGAGAGAGGGCGTAAGTGAGTGAGGGGGAGACAGAGAGAGAGAAGCAGGACTCAACTGAAGTGGGGCTTGTGCTCACCCAAAGCAGGGCTCCAGCTCACTCAAAGTAGGGCTAGAACTCACGAACTGTGAGATCATGACCTGAGCCAAAGTCAGATGCTTAACTGACTATGCCTTGCCCTTAGTAACTCTTTGTAATTCTGAATTCACTGAACTCGTGATATGCAGTGTGTGTGTGTGTGTGTGTGTGTGTGTGTGTGTGTGTGTGTGTATGAGCTTTTTTCTATACTGGAAAAAGTCATGCTAAAATAATTTTAGTCATTCCATTTTATTTTTACACTGTTTTATATTATTACATAATTTATTTTTGGAGCCTCTGTTCTGTTTTTCAAGTGTAGTTGTTTTTATTGAGTGTGAGATAACTATTTGGTCCCCCAAACAAAAATACTTGTGCCCATTTAATTAACCTTCTTATAATGAATGCTTCAAACCTGCACAAGAGTAGAGAGAATAATATCATGATTCTACATGCATTCAACTTTAACAATGATCAACTTATGACCAATCATCTTTCACCTAGCCTATCCACTTCCAGCCTCCCATTTTATTTTGAGCTAATCCAATACATCAATTACTTTATCCACAAATACTTCAACATATACTCCCAAAAGATATGATTAAAAAATAAAACATAACCATATCTAAACTGAATAATGTTTTTCTTTTTAATGTTTATTCATTTTTGAGACAGAGACAGAGCGTGAGCAGGGGAGGGGGAGAGAAGGAGACACAGAATCTGAAACAGGCTCCAGGCTCCGAGTGGGGCTCATGAGATCATGACCTGACCATGAAATCATGATCAAGACCTGAGCTGAAGTCGGACGCCCAACCGATGGAGCAACTCAGAAGCCCCGAATAATGATTTAATTTTATCAGATATCCAGTCAGTGCTCCAATTTCCAATTATTTTGTGGATTTTTAAAGTTTGTTTGAATCAAGATATAAATAAGTTCCACAATTACAAATATTATACATAGTAACTGGTTATCTTTCAAATTTCTTTTAAACTATGGATTCTTTTTTTTCTTACAATTTATTTGTTGACAAAACTATATCAATTGTCTTAGGAGGTTCCCATAGTCTAGATTTGCTAACTGCATTCCTGGGGTGTAATTTAGTGTTTCTCTGACCTTCTATAAATGGGTCATTGGAGCTAGAGGATCAAAATGATTCAGGTTTGAATTTTTGACATCTACATTTCATATGTGAGGTTATGCTGAGCCATTAGGAGGTACTTCTCAAATTTTGACAGTGATGGATGATTAATTCCTAAATCTGTTCACTTACTAACAGTTGTACAATGGCAATATCTCTCTTACCTTTTTCACCTATTGGAATAGTTTTATAAAGAGAAATTTCTCCTCATCAAGACATAAGAAAAGGCAAGAGAAACTCTGGATTCTTAATTTACCAGTTTTCAAAATGAATTGGTTCCCTAGTAGACTTTAATGGTAATTTTTTAAATAGTTGATATATTTTTATCCTCAGTAGTTATTATCCTTATTACTGTTCTAATTTCCCACTTTTGGCTAATAGAAGCCTCCTTATTTTGGCTCCTGAATCCTTTTCACAGAATCCCAATAAATTTTGTGTGTGTGTGTGCTTTTATTAACTTGTTTTATTTTTTATAATCCCAATAAATTTTGCTTGCTTTCTATCTGGTATACAAAATACTTCAGGCTTACCTTGCATATTTTCTGTCTCAGACCTTTAGTCTGCCATTTCTATAAGAGCTAATTCTTTTTAGAGAGAAAGGTTATAGGAGACCCCAATTTTGTACCCATTTATTTTTTTCTATATGAATCTCACAACCATGTAATTTAGTTTCAATACAAACTTTATTGCTATTTTAAATCTACAGAATAACCTGAGGAACAGTCACATTTGTTGTCATTACTATTTCTGGAAGAAAAAAACAGCATATTTTAAAAGTTATTCAAGTATTCTCTCTCTTGCTATCTCTCATTTTACTAGGCCTTTTACCACCCATTATAGTATAGTAAAACTAAGTACTTTATATTTTTGGTAAAACAGTTGTTTAAATTGAGAACTTTATAATATTTGTTTCATAATGGGAAATTAATAATGTTTTAAAAGAAAAGGAAGTAACTATTTAAAAAAAAAAGAGAGAGAGAGAGAGTGGGAGAGAGACTATTCATCAGGGTTTCAGAGGACCTGGTTTCTGGGTCTACTTAGTTTCAAAAGGATATAACCACCCAAAGTATTAGTTGCAATAATTGTTGCAATAATTAGTTGCTGCCTTTGGAAAATGGGAAATGAGGGGAGAGGGAAGATGGCGGCGTAGGAGGACGCTGGGCTCA